CTCCTGATAAAACAGTTGGAAAAAAAAAAAAAATCAACGTGATATTATTTTTCTTTTTAATATATTAAGATATTTTTTGCAGAGTACTAATGATTTCCATGGTAGAAAATGAGAGAAAAGATGGATTTTTCTCTATTTCATTTAATTAGTGATGGAATGATACCAATAATTTTACTAATTCCGATTACTGTTCTATATTCCCAATTCTGATTTCGATACCTACAATGATTAAAATTTATTATTTTCAGGTCCTATAGCTGATTTGAGAAACTTAATGAACAAAGAAACAAGGTAGCACGGCCAGACAAAATTGCAATGGAAATACTAACAGCTTCCAATGACTTTGGCATAGACAAGATCAGAGAAATAAACAAATGTGAACTCCACCGAATAGTCAGCATAATGAGCCATGTAACAAAACTTATCATCTATATTCTGATGAATAAAGCGCACAGCAGAATAAGGCCAGAGATAGAACAAGAACAGTGTGGGTTCGTTAAAGACACCAGAACAAGGAACGCGGTATTACTGCTTGGAATGTTATCAGAAAGAGCAATACAAATGCAGAAGGACGTGTACCTGTTTCACAGACTACGCAAAGACGTTCGACAAAGTACGCCATAAGGATCTGTTGGAACTGCTCAGCAACCGTGATATATTTCGGAAAGATATTAGAATCATCAAGAACATCTTCTGGCAGCAAACAGCATGCATGCGCATAGAGAACAAGTTCAGCAAACATACAAAAATAGAAAGGGGTGTAAGGTAAGGATGTGTCTTCTCGCTGGACCTGTTCAACCTATACAGCGAGGCAATTCTGAGAGAATTGGAAATTCTACTAGAATTCAACATTGGCAGCTACAATCTTAACAACATAAGATACACAGATGACACAGTACTGATAGCAGACATGGAAATGAAATTACAAAACCTCCTAAAGAAGGGAACGAAGGAGAGCGAAAAGAAGGGACTAAGTATAAACTACAAGACAGAATTTAATATCATGAGTTACCAGCAATCATGACAAAGACTGCTCATGGATAAAATTGGATTCATGACTTTCTGAAAGCATTAGTAAAACAAGAATTTAAATTTTGGTTTGTTCATATCTTTTTTAGGGTTGGAAGAAAATATCCCAACAGTATTATTACCTAACAAACAACTGGCATTAACTTAAAACTATCGTTATATATTGCATACAAAATTTCATATATATTGCATACCAAATTTCAACTCACCTACACAATTAAGCTTATGACATTAAATAAAAAATTGTTTTAACCTTATGATATTAAAAAAACATTTTGTTTAAATTTTTTTACAAAATAGTTGTATGTAAGGATCAGGCTCTGGCCTGCTACTGGTAACATGTAGCTCAGTACAATCTACCATAGTTGGCATCTAAACCAACTCCTCCACTAGCTTTTCTGCTGGTGAGGAGGGTGGCATGTCATCCCACAGGACAAAAAAATCAAAACCTGTTAAAGGACAAATGAGCTTCTTATAGGAGCAAAAGGCCTACGCGTATATATATATATATATATATATATATATATATATATCACACACACACACACACACACATGCATGCATGATCAATTTTTCACGAAGGAGACTACTTCTTGTCATCGGTCTGGAAGAGGTGATCCCAGCATGCGGAACATTTGGAAAATGCCTGAAAACCATACCACGAGTTGACCCAAGCCTTGTGAGTCAAATTAGGTAGACATAGCTCTTTGTGGGCTATTGATGGTTTTGCTAGCACAGTCACAAGTCATTATGACCGAGGGTTTGTGCGTGCTGGCCTTGTTCAAACTGTTGATCATGCCAGATAGCACGCTCCTCTCCCAGAAAATGTAACTACGGTCACTCAGCATAGTTGCAGTATAAACCACAAGTGGGCTCTGTGGGTGTTGAACAAACACAAATGTACTGGAGCAGGCGTCTGCAACAGGGATTGGCATAATAGACTGGCATTCTCAGATACAAGTGGCCAGCCATTATATATAACAGGGTATCAAGTCTTGAATGTCAACCTTCCTAGAGATGGTGTCTTGATAAAAACAGTCAGCATACTTGGACTGCTGTGAGTGTCCAAGTTGGGTATCAGGAGGAGCATCCAGCCTTGTAAAAACCTTGTCTCAAATATTTATGACAAATCTTTGCTTTGTGCAAGATTAATCCAAGTATTAATGTATGTATGTAAATATAGGTCAATAAAACAAAGAAATGTTTATTAACTGGAATGTTTTTAATATATTTTAAAAGTTAAGCCTCTGTAATTTTAGGACAGAAAAACTGTCAAAAGCATTCTAAAGAAAGCATTTGCCATTTTTAATACTGAATTACTAAAACAGTAAATAAGTGGCTAAATTCTAAAAAACATCCTCCATAGGGAGCTCGCCATGGTGTCCTAGCTTATAAGGCGACTGCTACTGGGATATATGGGCATCTGCAAGCATGACCTCAAGCCCACTGATATCAGTGGATGCTTGAAAGGTGACAGTTATAAAGTTATTGTCTCTGGCAATAATGTTTTTCATATGCAAGCATCGCCACTGCAAAAAAGCAATAGAACTGTGATTGAACTTAAGAGAGAGAAGAAGGGCTTTGGCAGCAACCACTCATCTGCCTCCATCAACCTTCATATGTAGCAGATATGACAGGGATTGCCACTTAAAAAAAAGTCAGCTTGTTAAAAAACAACCAATCCCGTTGTATGTGCACATTCATTATCGAATTAAGCAGATGGAGTAGACATATATACAAAATTACTTTAGTATTTCATGCCCAGGTATAAAAAATAAACTGTTTTTGTGTAACAAATTAGACAAATTAATCAATATCAAGAAATATAAGTAATTAATTATAGAATACATATTAATTGGATTAAGCACTCTTTAACACAAACTTACATACCTGAAGCACCCAGCAAATGCAGTATTAATAGCTTATATATAACTAATAAGCTCTTTGCTACACTACATGTATTTAACACACTGTCGGCAGTCAATTACAAAATCCGACTTCAAACACCTTTATAATAGCCAACTTAAGCAATAAATATTTTTATGAGTTGATTTATGACTGTAATTGAAGTCTTAACATTGTTTTCAAACCATAAGTATCATTGCAAATAAACTCATTGTTGACAGCCACAGATGAAAATGTATCAGAAAATGTCAAGCTTGAGATAACTTGTAGTCGGTATCATAATAAAAACTGCCAGCCATGAGTTATCACATTATCGGCAGTCAATGTGTTAAAGTATCTTTATGGGAGAATATGATATATAAATTTCTATACATCAAAACAATGTTAGGTAATTGAATGACAAAGTGGAAATAATTCTATATAATGCATTTCATCCTCTAAATGAAGTCCTTTTAGATGAGGAAGCTTATTACACAGAATTTTTTCCCACTTAGCCATTCAATTACCTTACAAGGTATCTCTAGAATATCTTGTATTATATCTTATATATTATCTATTCAAAAAACATTCAAGATTATTGTATGCAATATTAGGTTTTTGAAAAAAAATGTGTATATGCATACAGATGCTTGTATGCATCATGGGACAAATTTGATATATGTAGGTACAGTCTAATTGTAAAAAAAAAACAAAATTACACAGCAAATACTTTTCAACAATCTCTTTCCTTGTTAATGCATTTAATTTAGTAGGAAATAGTAATCACAGAAAAAAAAATTGACCTGAAGTTTTCATTGTACAAATGTGGTGCTGAAAAGGCTTTGTCTGAATTACTTCCCAAAACTCAAATTTTAATGATCAAACATCAATAGGATATAGAGTGTTCCAGGAATATTGGCTATGAATCATTGGACGAAATTGCATGGCATGAACTGTTGAAATGAAACTTATATGAACAGTCAGAATTGCCCTTGTGTCAGACTTTAATTATTTCGTTTTTGGGAACAAAATTTTTCCCAATAGTCTGATCTAATAATTATTGATTCCATATTTCTTTTAATTCAAGACTACTTATATGACATTATATTTATGAGTTTTATCTTGAATCTGAATCTTCAGTTATACACTGTCGAAATTGGCTTATGGCTCAATAGCACGAGACAGATGACCGTCCACAGTTCTGACATAACTTTGTTAACCAAGTTGCCAAAATAAATTTGGTGTTATATTTTATGTTTTGTTAAACTCTCTAATCTTATATTTAAGGTTTTTAGACATATTGAAAATAAAATTTTAGTTTGGGATACCTAATCAAAATACTGATCTTGCCAAGAATATGGATCAGGTCATAAACTTTTCAGTGTCCTCTTTGTACAATGAAAATGGCAGATCAAAATTCAGCTAATGTGTCATTTTTATAAGTAAAATCAAGTTGTAAAAGAAGTGCACATGTTTGTATGTGTGTGTGATATGACAGCTTTGGAAAGAGAAATTTTTATGCTTAAGCTATGAATTTACAAATGAAAGATTTTCAGAAAAATATGTCAAAGAAAAAAAAAAAGAAAATATCAGATCATTTTTCTTTCATTGTTACGAAAGATTTGTCAAAGTAAAAAGCTAAAGTGAAGAAGAAACTTTTAAAGAAATAAATTAATTTTTTTTTAAATTTTTAAAAATTGAAATAAGCATATAAAAATAGGAAGAAAAAATTAAGTAAAAAAAAAAAAATGGAGAAAATTAAATTCAGAAAGATCTAAAAACTTAAAAATTATTTGTAAGTACAAAATTACTAAACCATAAAAATGAAGGTAAAAAAAATGAATTACACAAAAAATAAATGAAAAATATTGAAAACAAAAACAAATTTTTTTTAACATGAAAAGAAAACAATAAATGTGATTAATTTTTTTCAAACATCAACATTATGTGTTTCCTTTCCATTGCGTAAGGCATCCAAGGTATGAAATAATTTTTGAAGTATTTTAAGTCTACCTCCTTTGGTTGAAGGTGAATTACATTCCTTAAGTAAATAATCCATATCCCAATCATCTCTAGCTGCTTTGGACATATCATGTAAGAGTCCTCCAGGAATCACTGGGTCTATTGCAGATCCAGAGAGGATGTAACGACAAGCCATATAAATATTCCAATCAGAACGAGCATGTCCACATAATTCCTTGTAAGGAGTTGGAGGAACAACCTCATCATATATTAGGAATTTTGCTTCATAGGTTTCCATAAAATTATTTTTATTTTCTGGAATAAAAAGAAAGTGCAATGAAATATAATTGATGCTGTGTGCTGAGTTTTATTTAAAGACATAATGATTTCAAAATAGAAACAAGAGTTTCATAGTTTCTGTCCAACATCTTTGACAAGTTATCATTAATTTTTTTTAACTAGTACCCTATCTGGTGACATCTAACACCCTGATTATCTACTTCCAAACACATTTATTACACTATTAGGGATTGTTTGGTTGGTGAATTTTATAGTATCAACCCTTGTTACTATTATGGAGTTAGGCTAAGTAAAAGCACAGATAGATTACATCATTTTTTATGCTAATAGTAATATTAGCTGTTTCCTTATAAGGAAACATTCAGCATTCATTGACAGAGCAACTGGTATTGCTACCATCTTTCTTCTAAAACAATTTTTCAGGAAAATAGGTTTCTCAAGTCCAGTAGATGTTATTGCTCTTTCCAGTATTGATGGGGGTTTCATTCCTAACCTTTTATTTAAAGTAGTGTGAAATAACAACATCTTGATTATGCCATCGTTTTCTATTCAAGCTATATGTGTTATCCATTTTAGTTGTTGTTGACTGTCCTCAAGTGATTATGGTTTCTCTTATTTGGTACAGTTCTTTGTGATCCTGTAGCACCAGTCCACAAGGCTCAAGAAGGATGATCTTTGCAAAGACCCATAGGTTCCACTTGTTCAAAGCCGTTTTTAACAATTGATTTGAGAAAGCAGTTGTAGATAGCTGCCAGTTTAGATATTTCTGAACAAGTTTAGCACCATGCATAACATCCATATAAAAGTCTTGATCTGACAAGGCATTTTTTGAACATGACTTGAGTTTTCAGGTTGGTGTTTTGGTTTTGTAGTAATTTGTGGTGTTGGGCGAAACTATCCCTAGCACAGCTTATTCTATGTTCATTTTCCTTATTTCCTATACTAAATTTGTTATAACTGATCCATACATCAAGGTACTTGAAGTGTTTTGTATTTACTAATTCTACATTCTGAATTTTTCTGATGGATTCAGGGTACATACCATCCTTGCATTCATTCCAATTCCAGTTCATATATTCTGTTCTGGAAAGGTTTATCTTGAAACATTTTGTTGAGGATGTTGATCTTCTGTACAAGATAATTCTTATTCCAACTATGAATACCTCTGTCATTGGCATATACGCCCACCTCCTCATCATCAGCACATTTGCCTGAGAAGGGAAAGTAGGTCTTCTACTGGTAGATTCACTTGGGGTGTGGTATGGAATGCTTAAATGATCAGTGCCCAACTCTTCACATCTATGCTTGTAAATGCACAAGGCATAGTTTAAGATTAAATAGATTAGGGCTCTCATTTCCTCCTGACAGGGTTTCAAATGTTTGTGGTCCTTGCCAGATATGTAAGATTTTATGGACCAATAAAGTTCCTCTATTAGATCGATATATTCAGTGGATAGTTCATCCAATACAGGGCTCAAGAGTCACTCAAGGTAGATGGTTGCTGTTAAAATGGTTATGATAAATAAAGTGTATGATATAAAAAGAGACAATGGTAGGAAATGAAGAATATGATGATAGGGAGGCTAGGTAATGACCACCACTTGATTTGAAAAGTTTAAAACTGTTCATTCAAGGAAGCATCTATACGAGAGTCTGCTTCATAAAGTAGCTGTTCTTGGGGAAAAAGCTGTCCGAGTGAAACTTTCTCTTTATGTTTGGAATATGAAGGAAATGAAGCTGATTCATCCCTGCAGTAGTGGCATGACATGTCTTAGTTGTAAAATTCTGAACTGGTGAAATTAAAGAATAGTGGAACTAAAAACCTGGGTAAACAACCTATCAGATACTTCAACTTAAGACCCGGGAGATTATATGCTATCAAATATGGTATTTCTTTCATCCAATTTCAGTTGCTTTTCATCACAACTCCAAGACTTATTCTATCATCATGAATGAGAAAAACAAAGATGAAAGAAATACATGTTAAAGAATTATAACACACAATGTTTCATCCAAGAAAGAATCATATACAAAACAATCATATCACTCCTAATACATTTTGTTTTTAAATGCCATGTCCCTTCAGAACATAGATGATCATGGCTCTACACTGATTCCATTTTCTTTATTATCTGTAAATTACCATGACTTCTTAAAAAGGATAGTGGAGTAGTTTCACACTGCCTTCTCTAGGCTTTTGAATTCAGTGTAGTCTTTCTCTCTTCAGAAGATAAGCAACCATAGCTCTACACCAATTCATTTTCTTTATTTTCTGTAAATTACCATGACTTCTTAGGTTTATTATAGTCACTTACATGCAAAATACCATTAAGTAATGTATGAATTCACATCATCTCCTCACCCCAGCCATGGGTAATTAATAGGATTTGTATTAATAAAAGTCATTATCTCAAAAAAATTCTTACAATCTAAAAATATTTTCTGGCTTTAAATAACCTGCAAAAGGTTCATAAGGTAGAAAAAAAAACAACAAATCAATTTTAATGTATTGAAGATAAATGGAAAATAAAAATTAAAATGCAATGTATTACTCACCATTCACAAATGATTCTCGATCCACAACTACGACATTATTAAGATCAACAAATTTCACTTGACCATATTTGTCAACAACAAAGTCATTAGCTTTCAGTTCTGTCCAATAAATTGCATAGCCATGGGGATTATCTGTGAGAATTTCAGCAATTTTCAATACTTGGTAAGCAATGTCCGCCTTAAGAAAAACAATAGAAACAAGATTGTAAATCTATATTAAAAATATCAAATTATTTTATAAAGAGTATATAAATAAACTAAAAAGATACAGAAATTGTCTGATGGTTGAGATGGTGAGACATCCCCTGATTGTCAGTCATTGACAATTGAACCCAGATAAAAGCCAAAATTTTGAATAGGAAAACTTAAAGAAAATGTGTCCTCAGGCAAGATTCAAACCTGAAAATTCATTGATTCTTTAGAAAATGTTTTGTTTATGTTTCAGATACAGAACTGAGCTGGTATGGCTTCCAAGAAATTCTGAACAAGTTCATGTGTATTAAAATAGAACAAATAGAACATTGCTTGACTGTGAAGCCCTATGTAGCTGAGAAGTCAAAGCATACTAGATCAGATAGTGATTTCTCTTGCAAAGGGGGATGCGAGTTCAAATTCTGCTGGAGAACACATTTTCTTTATTAAATTTTTTTCAAGTACACAGCAAATAGACAAAATAAACACTATTTAAAAACAGAGCATCTACTCAACTACATGTATCTACTAAAAATTACATTTGAATATATATATATATATATATATATATATATATATATTATACACACACACAATTGTGTCCTACATAGAATCGTCACATAGTGTAGGATACAAATTCAATTTGTCAGAGGACACATATTTTCTATGAGATTTCTCGCAAATTCAGGCCAGCAGATGTTGCTAATACTGTTTATTATAAACAGAGCATTTACTGAAATATGTGTGTCTATATAAATAACATAGCAAAATATATTAAAATAATTGTCTGACTTAGACCATTTCATATATATATATATATATATACATAAAAATAATTGTGTATTTAGGCAGCAATCCTTCATTTATACATGTTTCATTAAAGATGACAGACAAGATACTATGATTAAGCTTTTTCTTTAATTTTTCTTTTGTTCGAACAAGTGTTTTCTTTTTTGGACACAGAGTGTGTAGAAACTGTCCAAATGTTCTATAATTCCGAGTGCTTTCAGCTATACTTTTAGCCATTATCAGGGATGGTTTTATTTTATTTTAGTTTTTTCAATTTAATTGAGTGTGTGGGTTGTGTATGTTTTTAGTGTTATAGAGATGTTTTATTTTCCGAACACAGTCAGCACATTGTGGCCCTGTTCCTAGTCAATATTATTAAGTGTTGGCTTTTTCTTTTTTATTATTAAGGCTTCCATTACTTTTAATCTTTTTATACATGTGGATGAGGCTATTATATTTGTATTTTCTATTAGTATGTTTCGGATGGAATCCTTTTTCTCACTCACACTTCCTGATGATGACTCATGTGAGCTGAAAGATTATTTTACACGATGTGAATTTTGTCCAGTTTATCTACACATATCATTTGCAAAAGGATAATCATACATTAGAAAAAAAGGAATATTAAATTCAAGACATAAAATATCTATTGTTTCTAAAAATACATCTTTAAAAGGACAACTGCTCCCTATATATATATATATATATATATATATATATATATATATACATACAGTGACACGCATAAGTATTGGATACATGTTATTTTCTGTTATAACTCTAGTTTATGTTCGCCATTTTGCCTGATATTTAGTAAGTAATATCTCGTAAAGTTGTTTTAGTTGTATGTGCATGGAAAATTAAAAACTCATGGTTGAATCATTTTTTTTATCAAAGTTCAAAATTACCCTATGCAAAAGTATTGGATACACAACACTTTTTTCAAATTTTCAATCGAAACTTTGTATTTTAAAAGACTTTAAATATTCAAATTTTCGATAGTATTGGAATGTTATCTCTGACCAATCAGAGAAGCACACAATTGTTTACAAGATAGTGCTACTAATTATCTGACTCTTTGATGTGCATTCTGCAATTCAAGGATTAAAAATGGCAAAAACTAAAGAATTATCCAGAGATATGCGAGATAGAATCATTGAACATCACAAAGGAGGACAAGGTTACTGAAAAATTAGCAAAGAAATGAATCTAGCACTAAGTACAGTAGGAAATATCATCAGAAAGTATAAGAAGTATGGTGACAGTACAGCAAACCTTCCAAGAAATGGAAGACCGAGAAAAATAAATAAGAGTACTCCAAGGTGGATCAGCAGAAATGTGCAAAAACCCCTTCATTACTCGTTCTGAAATTAAAACTGATCTTGAGGGTGCTGGAATTAATGTAAGTAAGGATACCATTAGCAGAGCTCTATATCATACAGGCTTTCATTCAAGATCACCAAGAAAAGTGCCTTGATTAAAACCAAACATGTCAAAGACGGATTAAAGTTTGTCAAAACTTATGAAAAGAAAAGTATGCAGTTTTGGGAAAAGGTAATCTGGTCAGATGAAACGAAAGTTGAACTATTCGGAAGGAATACAGTGACGAGTGTTTGGCGAAAAAATGGCACTGCCTTCAACAAGCACAATACCATCCCCACAGTTAAGTTTGGGGGTGCTTTCATTATGATATGGGGATGCTTTTCATCCAAGGGCACTGGTGAGTTACAAGTTATCCATGGTAGAATGAATGGTAGCATGTACAGGGAGATTCTAGAGAAGAACCTTCAGAAATCTGCAACTTCTTTAGGACATGGTCGGAATTTCGTGCTTCAACACGACAATTATCCCAAACATACCGCAAAACTTACAAAGGAATGGTTTGAAAATAATGGTATTAGTACTCTCAATTGGCCAAGTCAGTCTCCTGACTTGAATCCAATTAAGAATTTGTGGAATACTTTGAAGGTTAAAGTTCATAAGCAGAATCCACAAAATATCAAGCAATTAGAGGAATTATGCAAGGAAGATGATGGATCAGTGTGGAAAACTTGTGGCCAACTATAGAAAGCGACTGGAAGCAGTGAAACAAAACAGAGAGAGGCTACGCAACAAAATATTAAATTGCTGTACCCAATACTTTTCTATAGGGTAATTTTGAACTTTGATAAAAAAAATGGATTCAACCATGAGTTTTTAATTTTCCTTCCACATACAACTAAAACAACTTTACAAGATATTACTTACCAAATATCAGGCAAAATGGCGAACATAAACTAGAGTTATAACAGAAAATAACATGTATCCAATACTTATGCGTGTCACTGTATATGAATGGAAATGATAAGACAAAGTGGAAAAGCTATAAGCAATGTGTCTGTTGGTCTCAGCTTCTTCAGGTCAGAATGAAAGACAAAACTGTGTAATGCAAATATATATTTGTTTGTTTTATTGAATAATTGATTTGTTTTCTACAACTTATCAACCTTTTGCTGGTTATTTAAAACCAGAAAATAGTTTTAGATTGTAAATTTTTTTTTTTTGAGATCATAATGGTTTTAGTGATAAAAGTCTTACTAATTAACCCATAGCTGAAGGGAGAGGAAGTCAATTCATACCTTTGCTAAGGGTATTTGCGAGTAATATAACAATCCCAATGGGAATTGAACCTCAGCTCTCCGAGTAACAATTCCAAGCTTTTATCCATTACACCACCCACACACACACTCATGCACATTCCCTCATGGTCATCCATCTAGGTACTGACCAGGCTGGATCCTGATTAACTTTAGTGATCATACAGGAACCAGTGTTTCAACATGATGTGGCCATAAGCCATATATTAAAAAAATCTGATTATTTTATAAATTACAATATATAAACTAAATGATAAAAAGTTTGCTTTGTTGCCAAGCTTGTTGCATATTTCCTGTTGATTCCAATTGTCAATGTTCAAATTAAGCTAATATCCAAAATTTTAAAAATGCTGATTTTCAAGTTAAGTAAACTTGGAAGGCAAAAGGTCACAATTATTATGTTTTCTTTAAACCAGGGTTTGTACTCTGATAAGCTTAGTAAAATAAATAATCTAAATGAAATATACACAGCTAATATGCATTATGTGGAGGTACTTATACCTCTTGATGAAATTGACATTGCTTGCTGTCAACACACACCTTCAAGACACTGTGAAATGTCAGTTTGTCCTATTTCTATAAACTAGCGGTTCGTTCTATTTCTATAAACTAACAGTTCTATTTCTAAAACAGTGTAGACATATAGTAGTATACAATATAACCTATGTTGTGATGTATTTTTATTATATCATGTTTTAGGTGTGTCATTTAGTTTAATCTGTATCCAATCAAAACAAAAATGGCAGTGCCCGTTTCCATGAAAAGAAAGAAAAAGAAAAGAAAAGAAAATAGAAAAAAAAAATCATCATTAAGCATCTTTATATAGTTATTTATTTGCAGTAAATGGTAATTTCCTAATTTTCTCAAAGTGGGCCAGCATAACCAGGCAATAATGCACAAGTCAATGTGTGAATGCCAATTAATTCCATTCATCAATCAAGACAAAAAATTTAAATTTAGGTATTACTTAAGTAAGATATGACAAATGCAGCAAGATTTTATTTTATTTCCGTGCTTACAAAGCTAAAATATTAATAAAAACCACAAAAAAATGTGAATTTTTATTACAATACCTATTTAAGCCAGCATATCAACACAATTTGGGGATTTGTCCAACCTGTTGCTCTTGTATCTCATCATGGTCTTACACTTCTAAATTATGAATTTGCTGAATCCAAATAACATTACTGAATTTACTTACCCTTTTCTCAATGGGTGCGTTGTAGAGATTTTTGAGAGACTGGCCACAGTTTTCAACAACAATGAACCTTCCACATGCACCAATGTAAGCAGGAAATGGCCAACCCTCAGAAGATGGAAAAGTCTAGAATTTGAATAAAAGAAACATTTAACATTTTTTTATTATTGATAATTAGTTCCTCCAATTTGGAAAATGCTTGTCTAAATATGTTTGAGCTAACATGAAAGAAATTCAAAATGACCTACTAAACATTGTTTCAATTCTATTTACTTATTCCAATCTGAAGACGTAGTTTCGCAGTTCTTTTGTCACAAGTAGGTTGCAATAACAGTTTTAAACATATGAACACAACCCTTTCTAATAAATTAGATAAGAAAGGTGAAAGCTCAGATGAAAAGTTTATGTCAAAAAAAAAGAAAAGACATCTTCAAATTAGCTAAACTCTAAACACTGCATATTTCCATCATCATACTATATATTTTCAAATACTATGTTGCCAAAAAGCATTGAATTTATTGAATGCCAAATTTACTATTTTGCTCCACTCTCTTCTGTCATTTTCAAGTAACTTGATCATTTTTATCCCTGCCAGATCTTTTTTCTTTACCTTTCTCAGAAAAGAAATTCTCTTGGAGCTTTTTACTATCTTCCAGGGAACTGAATTTTTCTTTATCATTGAGAAAATTCTTTAAAACCAGAACAAAATGTTTAATTATTCTGATAAACTTTCCTCTTTGGTATCTTGACTTTACAAATTTAAGCACAGCACTAGATTGAAAGTTAGGTCTCATCAATTTACAGTTGAAATTGCTAGATGTAATTATAAATTCAATGCTAACAGTTTCTTTTCTCATACTTCTTGCTTTCCAGTCAATTTTGATTTTCAAAAATTTAAATGCAATGTCATTCATTATCTTCTGTCTTCTTAAATCCTGTACTTTTATTGTTCTCCCTCCTTAATGTTTTTTTTTTTATTATTTATACTAATGTTTCTCCAATACAAGGCGAAACTAGGTAGAAGGTTACTGTGTGATGTATGAATGTACAAAAAGGCATCAAGTGCAGTTCATGAGGTTATGTAGAAATGTGAAGTTATGTTTTTATCTTATATTTTTTCACATTCAGTAACTTTTGTGTCTTAGTGGCTTTATTACCTTGCTTAGGGTATAATGATTAAAAAAAAAAGAAAAAGAAAAAAAAGAATTCTTTTTCTTTTTTGTTGAGTGAATATTACATTAACAATTTTTTAAGAAAAACTATGATTTTTTGAGATACAAATAACTGATGAATGCAGATGATCAGTGAAAATTTACCAGCCAAATTGTAACAATTTTTATCTGGTCACCAAAAAGAAAACATACAATCTAGCATTATCATCATTGACTATTACACTATTTTTGGTAACTAATTCCAGATGTTTTTGTTAATTTAGTCAAAAACACAATAAAAATTAAGAAACTAGTTGTAAGAATTTATTCAAAACTTACCTGTAACATTAACGGCTCACTGTTTATCATCGCGGTGACCAACACCTGAATTTTATCAGTGATGTAATAAATGGGCACTTCATGTTTAGCACGTTCTTTGTAATTTGCCAGCAACCGCCGGACAAACCTTACTGAAGGACATCGAAACATATCACTCACACCTGTAAGGTGAGATACCTGCAAATCAGTAGTCCGAATTTCCCGAGTAAAGTCTGCAATATAAGATACCCTTGCAACATCACAGCCAATTTTTCTATCAGCAGAAAAACAGATCCGTTCATCTATATCCTGAAGGACACTGTTTTGAACTAATTTTTTCAAGACAACATCCTCTCCTCTGTATTTACCATAATGGAAATTTTTGAAGTTCAAAATATCAAGAGATCGAATATTGGAAAGGCCTGTGAAATGGGCTTTGCCATCGTAAAGCGGTTTACAAAGACTGGCACCATAACAGGCGGGGCACTTGTTTGTCTCAAGGTAGGAGTCTTCTCTCAGTCGGTTAGAAACCTGATGCATTGCCATCAAGATGTAGAAAATGATGAGCATGAACCCGCAGAAGATGAGGACACATTTTGTTCGCAGAGAGAGACGACTGAATTTTGAGGAGGTTGAACTTAAGGCTGACCTGAGCATATTCAATGGTTGACTTTTACGCCGCTTCCGAAGCCCATCACTAGAAAAATCCATTTCTGAGTGCACATAAGTTGTTTATGTATCCATTTGATGAGTTCTGCTTAAAAAGAAAGACAAGAATGTTAATAGTGCATTCATTGCATATAAACCATGCATAAAGCAAAAACTATAAGTAATTTGATCAGTGAACAAAAATCATAACATCAACAGCATTAATAACTTTCTAAATCTGCAGCAATATCTATAAAGATTTTTTTATGATATATTTACCAAATATCAACACATTCATGTTCATATAAATCTATTGTATTTAAGTCCTTTAAACTGAAACCAGGATTATCATAAAACTAGTTGCAGAATAATGTAGAGGATCAAATTGCCTCAATTTAATCTCCACTATTTTTATGAAATAACAAAAAATAGATTTTTCTTTTATCAGTGACAAAAGTGTTACAAGTTGTGTTGATGTGTTGTATTGAAATTATTATTACATTTAGATTGTATACAACTGATATGTTTAAAACATGGAAAATGTTCCACTGAGAGTAGATATGAGCAATGCAAGGCCACAATTTTGATTGAACCACCAGTGAGAGAAGGGTTCTTGATGAGGAGGAGGGCTTCCTTATTATTACATTTAGATTGTGTACAACTGATATGTTGTTGTTGTTGTTGTTACATAGAAGTTAAAACTTAGGTTTAACTTAAGTGTTCATTTAATAAAAGAATTGTTCGTTGGAATAAGTGACACAAAGCAAATCTTTATAGGTTAGGTTTGTGTTGATCAAGGATCTAACATATTTTCAGATAGAATTGGCCATGACACCTGCGATAATCGAATCAAAAGAGTGAGATTTTAAAACATGGAAAATGTTCCACTGAGAGTGGATATGAGCAATGCAAGGCCACAGTTTTGATTGACCCACCAGTGAGAGAAGGGTTCTTGGTGAGGAGGAGGGCTTCCTTCCTCCCCTTCAAGGTGCATGACACAAGACCATTGGTCAAGCATTATTATTGACTGGCCAACCAGAGCAGTGCAATTGGGGTTTGCACTCCCATAAAAAGCAGTTGCCGAGTAGTAAGATCGAACTGGTCTCACTGATAGTAAACTAACATTCTTCCTGCCAGATGACTGTAGTGCATCAATCAGTTAAAGTCCTGTTCTTTGCACTGCTTTGTGAATTCCCTTGATAAAATGCCTTCATTTAAATAGTTGAATGACACTGTGCCATTTAGCCATAACTGCAACTGCCAATTGTAGCTATACAATTGATATAACTGTTGCATAACAATTATGCCAGTTTAAGAATTCCTTATACAGGGTAACTTCTACAAAACCTTTTTATTTATGTATTCTTTATCTTAATCAATCATAGTACCATAAATAAAAGTTGTTATTTTTAAATTTGTTAATGTGTTGTTGTTGAAGTTAATTAAATTTCAAGCATAACCAAAGACAGAGAGAGGAATCAAGCCTGATCTTCAACAGTTCTTTACTGATATTCCAATGTGGGGATGCAGGATTGGTGCACAGTGAGCTTGCCAGAGATGGACCAAAATAAGAGTGACATTCAGTTAAGTAAACAGTAACAGGGTTATAGTAAAACATTACTGGTATTTATTGGGTTACTTTTCAAAATATTTTGTAAGGCATTAAATTGCCTGTGTTTCAAATGCATAATTGTTTTGACAAGATTGATCCAAGAATTATTTTAGCATGAAGATGGCAAATTAATAAGAATTTATATGTATCTATAAAACCAAAATTTGTTTAGAGTAATTCACTGTCACTCTCTGTTTAAATGACACCATCACTTTTGGCTTAATTCATTAAAATGTTTTAAGAAAATTAGTTTTGTACAAAGTCAGGATCCATTCAGTCAGATAAACCATGAATTTCTTTTCCTTTGTATATATAACATTCTTGATGTAATTTCGCTGGTGCTTTTTGGATGAGATCGAAAAGTGGCCTATCTCAGCATGCATCTGTATATTTTGTTTATAAATTTGTGGAGGGGGATGTTTTTGCAGTCATTCCTTTACAGGATTAGAACCAACACTAACCATTTATATATCCCTGAATATCACAGGTAGAATTTATTAGATAAAAACATCTAATCTTTCATTCATGATTACATGTCTAGAGCAGAGTTAGTTTCTAAACTGATGTGTTGTGATATTAAAGGAATTAACATTTCTCTATTTGTTAAATAAATTTCTCAGTGATTATTCTATTTATATGCATTTTTAATTATATAAAGGAATCCTTAAAAGTTATTGGCCCAACATACTTTCCCAAAATCTGAACTTTTTGAATTTTGTTCCTGCAGCTAGAAAGAATATTTTGAAGTGTCAATTTGAAGGACCTTGCCTTTATTTTTTAATTTGTTTCAAATTATTGAACCATATCATGGAAAACATAAAATTTTCAAGTGTTGAACTACAGGCCATTATTAAAAATTTCTGTTTACACAGAAGAAAACACCAAAGGAAATTCATGAGTGTATGATGCAAACATTGGGCAATATTTATATTCAACTGCAAAGAGGTGTGCCAATTTCCAGTATACAGGAAAAAAAATACTGTAATGAAAATGATAATAAAAAAAAGTTTTGAAATTTTAAAAAAATATTTAAACAAAATAAAAATAAAATGTTTTGAAGTATGAAAAGATGTTATAAAAAAGTACAAAAAAAGAAATGCTGTAATAAAAATGATAAAAAAAGGCTTGAAATATGAAAAAGTGTGTGTATATATATATGTGTGTGTGTGTGTGTGTGTGTGTGTGTGTAAATGTTTGTATGTATTTTGTTTGCATTTATTGGCCCCATAGAAAGGGGAGATAATGGAGGGAAAATGAGTACACTCATCCATTAGATTGAGGGGGTGGGGGTTTCAATCTGTATTGGAACGGCTACAAAACACTTTCCCCTCCCAAATTTATAGGCAAAACCACACAAATGCATGCTGGGATTTCTTTATTTGAATTGACACTTGTGTGTCAACCCCAACTCTTAGTTTGTGAATTTTTTGCCATGTTACTGTTGCTTTGCCTTATTACTGTTAATTTGCCTTGCATATATTGTTTGCTTGTTTTATATTATTTTTGCTCTGTTCTTTTTCTTGTTATTGTTTATTACAAACTTTGTCAATTCAGTTTATTGGGCAGTTCCACCATTTACATTCAACCATGGCCATTCACTTTACATTAAGACCCAAGATGCAGCACAGCTCTTGAAATTGTTAATCATGTTCATGACTTAATAATTTTGGCTGACTGATGAATCTCAGTCAAAATAATTTCCAAGACAATGGAGTTATACATATTGAGTTGATTATTAGTTGGGTATACAAAATTTGTAAACCAAGTTAGTGTCAAAATGTTTGAATGACAAGCAGAAATGATATCAAGTGGTTCCGTAGCATTTTCTGTGACATCATTGAGTGATCATTCTTGAAACTAGAACTATTAAAGTCACCAAGAGGATATGCCATTGACTAAGTACAAAGTCACCACTATTCACGATATTAGTAATTATTTCTTGGTACATACAGAGTACAGGAGTGACTACTGTTGAAGAATTGGGCTGGAAGTGAGATTGAGGTTTATCAAAACTGGTAGCAGAGCATAAGTGAGGAGAATAATTACAACCAGATACATTAATCCACCACTATTAGTACGAGAAAAGCATACCGCATGTCGGAAAAAAAATTGTACATAGGAAAATATTGGAAACATCAAAAATAGTTTTTTCTGTTCTTTTCATTTTAACTGGAAAAGATAAGGAATCAATAATGGGATCTTGAGACAAAAAACATAAACCAGGAAGACAGTTTAGAGTTAGTATTTGTAAAAGTTGATTTCATCTTTGTGGAGGAATTGAACATTTCAACATTGTTGGTGTATGAAAAATTTGAGAATTATGTCAGATCTGAAGATGTGCAAATTAACAATAATCTGATTGATTTTGACAACCTTGTGACCAAATTGAAAAATGACAATATTATTTTGTTTAAACCTGTATTAGCTTATAGAATGCTAAAAAGTAGCAACATATTGAAGGAGAATGAATGATCAGTAAAGTGACAATGTATGAATTGACTCTATATTCTACATCAATACAGTTATAAAAGTGAAGAATTTTCTCTCTTCCCTGTAAGTTTTCTTTTTTCAACAACTTGTCACTATTGATGAAACAATTATATCACTTTGATCTGGTGGCTAACAACTATCCATGCAATGGTGGCACTCAGGTTCTCAATGGCTAAAGAAATTCAAGACCCAAAAGTCAGCAAAAGGGATTATAGTCACAGTTTCTTGGAATAAGGAAGGCATTTTGATGACTATTTTCAGAAGAGCCAAACAACAGCTAATGCAGAATATGATTCATTCTGCTGGTTAAAAAATGCATTGAAAGAAAAACTTGAGGGAAGCTGCTAAAATCTTTTCTCTTTTTGCAAGACAATGCATGGGATGTGGGAGTGGTATAATGGATAGTGTCTTGGATTGAGAA